GGAAACCTAACAGCAACAACAACAACAATATATATATTTTAAGGTGTTTTTGGTTTTTGTTTTAAGTTTTTATTGTGAATTGAACGATACGGAACATGGAAGAACATTGGTTTTACACTCATCGTTTCATTGCATTGATTACGATGTTATATTGTTTTGCAACAGATTTTTCATTTCAGCCATGAATTAATTATTCTTACTCTAAAAAAGCCTATGAGATGGCCTATTATATTTGAGGTTGCCATGTACAGGAACATTCTAGGCCTACACCAGAGATAAATATTCCACAACTTCCCCCTCACAGTGAGCCTATCAGTTAACAAAAATTGAGTGTCATCAATATGCTGAGCACTCTGAGCTGTAGATACAAAAAAAGAGAAAGACCTGATCTTTGCCCTTAAAAAGGACATGTGACATGGCTGAGGATGCATACTGTATTCCATTAGTGGGCAGAATTAACAGGGTCAATTGTTAGATACACAGAGGCTGGGGATGAGAAGACTACTGGTACCAGGAGGAAGGGGCAGTTCTTTCTGACTCAGGAGGGAATGGGGAAGGAAGACGTGACCTATGGATTAAGCCTCAAAGTCTGAATGTATGGAGGGAAGAGGTGGCCCTTGGGCTAAGACTTCAATTAGGAGTTCAGTCAAAAGACATAGACTTAACAGAAGGAGATTCTAGGCTCCAGCCATTTAGAACTCAGCCTGTCATCACTTCAAGGAGCCAGAGAGTTCAATAACAACTCAGCAGCCTGCAAATAGGTTGGCAGACCACCACAGGCTGCTGCTGAAAAGCGAACTGGAGCCAGAGACTGGGATATCTTTGTAGAAGGGAAGGAACCTGAGTTTAACCAGGCTCTTTATTTCCCAGGATGATCTGAAGGATCAAGCCCAGAAGCTGGAACAGCGTCTAACTCTTACTGAGGCTGAGAAGAAGCAGGTCTGCACAGAGTTACGGGAGCTACAGAGCCAGCTCTCCCAGAACCAGGAAGGTAAGAAGCTCAAGGCTGTCAGGGGGATTTGGTGGAGAGTCCAGAAGTGGCCCACAACTGTGAGGAAATACCTGGAGGCATCTCAAAAGTAGAGACGACCTCTGCCCCCATGAACTGTTTTTCTGTTTTGTTGGCCTTTGAGGGCTATCCTGAAGGAAGGTATTAAGGGGTATGCGTTTGCTAGCCAGCCAGGCTTTCATTTTCTGTCTCTGGAGGAAATTAAATATTAAAAACCCAGGACCAAGGCTAGGATTAGATTCTGCACCTTTTATCCTTTGTATGGTATACTTACGTTTTATCATCTCCAACCATATGCTCAAAATGATTTATCTTTGACGGCGAAAGGTTTGTAATCTTGTTGAGGAGATAGCAAGGAGGGGGAATCTGGGAGAATGTATTAGTGCCACAGCTCAGGACTGGGAAGAGTGATGACTGCTTGGAAAGGAGATAAGAGGGTCTTGAGGCTCAAGCTCTACTGCATAAGAGAAGAGGACAACTTGAGTAGGTCTAGGCTTTGAGTATATCCCACAAGGCTCCTTCTGAGCCACACAAATAGAGCTGGCTATTCATTCATCAAAATCATAGTGCATTTTCCAGGAATGGGGAACAGCTAACAAAACAACCCTGACTCTAGGAACCTCAGCAAATTCATAGAATTGAGGGTTGGAAGGGACCTCTGGAGTCATCCCTCTCAAATCTCTCTGGAGTCCAGGGTTAAGGATCTCTGTCTGGATGAGAAAGTGTGCTGTTTCTGGAAGCACCAGGGAGCCTAGATAGAAGGAGCAGCTGGCAAATGGGGGTGACTCTACAAAACTAGATGTAATGCTCCCCTTTTTGGTCCTGGTGTCCTTTGAGTTTGTTTCCCCAGCCTCCACATCCCTCTTTTCCCCCATCCCCAATCATGATTATGAGTCTTATTTCACTGGCTCTCCTTTTCCCAAAGAGAAATCCAAATGGGAAGGAAAACAGATTTCCCTAGAATCTGAGCTGATGGAACTGCATGAAACCACGGCATCCTTACAGAGTCGCCTACAGCAAGCTGAGCTCCAGAGAATAGAAGCCCAAGTAAGATGGTGCTAGTTTAGGGGAAGGGGTTCCCTCAGGGCCCAGGTTCTAGCTCCCGGGCCTACCTTGACCTATAGCCATACCCCATTCATATGCAGTGACCAAATTCCTCTGCCAAGCCTCAGTTCTTCTGACTCTCCCCATGCCCCTAAGACCTATTATTAAAACATCAGTGAATCCTCCTTAATTACCTTTTCTAAATTGAGATGGAGATTTTTGTTTCCTTCCCTGAAGGACCAGAGTTGGGGGCATGGCTCATTCCCACCAGTTTTTTTCCTCGGAATAGCAGAGCCTTGGGAGGTTGGTGGTAGAATGTTCTTTTACAGTATCAGCTTAAGTGAAATGCACTAGTTTTTTTTTCCCTAAGCTTTTGTCTCTGCTGGTGCTACAAAATAACAGAAAGACGGGCCTGCAGTGGAGTGACAGTATTAGCAGAAGTGTAGTCTAAGGTGGTTTTGCACCTTGTTTTTCAGAATGAGCGAGAGTTGCTTCAGGCAGTCAAGGAGAACCTGACAGCCCAGGTGGAACAGCTGCAAGCATCCATCACAGAAGCCAGGACTCAAGCAAGTGCTGCAGGGATTCTAGAAGAAGACCTGAGAACGGCTCGCTCAGCCCTGAAATTGAAAAACCAGGAGGTGGAGAGTGAGCGTGAGAGAGCCCAAGTCCTGCAAGAGCAGGGCGAGCTGAAGGTGGCCCAAGGGAAAGCTTTGCAGGAGAATCTGGCTCTCCTGGCCCAGGCGCTCTCTGAAAGAGAAGAGGAGGTAGAGACTTTACGGGGGGAAATGCAGGAACTGGAGTCACAACGGGAAATGCAGAAGGCTGCTCTGGAAGTGCTGTCACTGGACCTGAAGAAGAGGAACCAAGAGGTAGATCTGCAACGAGACCAGATTCAGGAGCTAGAGAAGTGTAGGTCTGTTTTAGAGCATCTGCCCCTGGCTGTCCAGGAACGAGAGCAGAAGCTGTCTGTCCAAAGGGAGCAGATCAGAGAGCTCGAGAAGAGCCGGGAGACTCAGAGGAACATCTTGGAGCATCAACTTGTAGAACTTGAGAAGAAGGCCCAAGTGATTGAGTCCCAGAGAGGCCAGATTCAGGATCTGAAGAAGCAGTTGGTTACTCTGGAATGCCTGGCCCTGGAACTCGAAGAAAACCATCACAAACTGGAGCACCAGCAGAAGGCGATTGAGGAGTTGGAAGGCCAGAGGGAAATGCAGAGGGTAACTCTGACCCACATGACATTGGATCTGGAGGAAAGGGGCCAGGAACTGCAGGTCCAGAGCAGCCAGATCCATGAGCTGGAGAGCCACAGCACTCTTCTGGCTGGGGAGCTCCAGGAGAAGGACCAGGAGGTGAAACGCCAGCAAGAACAGATCGAGGAGCTGCAGAGACAGAAGGAGCAACTGACCCAGGATCTTGAGAGGAGGGACCAGGAGTTGAGGCTCCAGAAGGAGCGGGTTCAGGTCCTAGAAGACCAAAGGACGCTGCAGACCAAGATCCTGGAGGAGGATCTGGAGCAGATCAAGTTGTCCTTAAGGGAGCGGGGCCGGGAACTGGCCTCTCAGAAGCTGCACACACAGGAGCAGGCAGAAGAGGGGAAAGGCCAAACTAAAGCACAGCGCGGGAGCCTCGAGCACATGAAACTGATTCTGCGTGACAAGGAGAAGGAGGTGGAATGCCAGCAGGAGCACATCCAGGAACTTCAGGAGCACAAGGAACAACTAGAGCAGCAGCTGCAGAGCCTGCACAGGAAAGTGGGTGAGGCCAGCCTGCTCCTGACACAGCGAGAGCAGGAGATGGTGGCCGTACAGCGGCACCTGCAGGAAGCCAGGGATCAAGGGGAGCTGAAAGAGCGATCACTTCAGGGCCAACTGGAAGAGGCCCAGAGAGCCCTGGCCCAGAGGACCCAATTGCTGGAGACCCTGCAGCAGGAACAGCGGCAGGAGGAGCGTGCAAGGGAACAGGTAAGTGCACTCCAGGGAGCTTTGGAGCAGGCCCATGGGACACTGAAGGAGTGCCAAGCGGAGCTTGAGGACCACAAGGAGCAGGTGCAAAGGCTCCAGGAGGAGCTGGCCATGGAAGGACAGCGGGTACAGGCCCTGGAGGAGGTGTTGGGTGAACTGAGGGCTGAGTCTCGGGAACAAGAGAAAGCCCTTCTGGCCATTCAGCAACAGTGTGCTGAGCAGAAACAGGAACATGAGGTGGAGATCAGGGCCCTGCAGGAGAGCTGGCTACAGGCAGAGGCCACACTTAAGGAGAGGAGCCAAGAGCTGGAGACCCTGCAGGCTGATAGCCAATCCTGCCAGCATCGGGAGGCGACTGCCCGGGAACAGGCGGAAGCCCTCCAGGAGGCCCTCAGCCAAGTGCAGGCTGCCCTTCAGGAGAAAGAGCAGCATCTCTTTGGGCAGGCAGAGCTGAACTGTAGCCTGGAAGCCAGCACTGCCGCTCTGCAGGTTACGCTGGACTCCTGCCAGGCACAAACCCGGCAGCTGGAGGAGGCCCTGAAGATGCGGGAAGGTGAGCTCCGGGACCAGGATCTGCAACACCAGGAGGTTGTACAGCAGCTCCAGCAGACACTTGTGCAGAGAGATGAAGAACTGAGACGCCAGAAGGAACAGGGAAGGCTGCTAGAGAATTTCCTCACTCAGAGGGACCAAGACAATGTGATCCAAGCGGGGCAGGAAGAGATGAAAGGCCTTCGTGAAAACTTGAGAGAGCTCCAACTGACTCTAGCCCAAAAGGAAGAGGAGATCTTGGAGCTAAAAGAAGCCCACCAAAGAAGGAACCTGGAGGACTCACCCCAAAGCCACAAAGCCTCCCCAGTGGAGGAGCCCTCTTTAACAGTTGATTGTTTAGGACCCAGGATGCAGCAGGAGCTAGAGCGACTACAGGGAGCCCTGAAGCAGACGGAGGCCAGGGAGATTGAGTGGAGGGAGAAGGCCCAGGACCTGGCACTGTCCTTGGCGCAGAGCAGGACCAGTATCAGCAGTCTGAAGGAGGTGGCCATGTTCCTGCAAGCCTCTGTCCTAGAGCGGGACTCGGAGCAACAGAGGCTGCAGGTGAGTCACTGCGGGAATATAAGGGCCAGGGGCAGAGCATATCTTAGAGGTATGAGAAAGCACTGCGATATAAATGGAACTCAGAATTTGCTAGTCCCTGTTCTCACCAAGCTTACAGTCTGCTGGATAAACTGCAATGTGATGGGTGCCTAATAAGGAAAGTTCAGTGTGCTCTTAATGTACTGGAGGAACACCTGACTTTTTCCAGGGGTGGGTCCTGGCAAAAGTGGCATTTAAAATTAGATCTAAAGGGGCCAGTAAGGAATTAGCCAAGCAGAGGCAGGAGATCAGGGAACATCTGTGTAGGTGATTTAAACTGCTTAAGACAGATGGGGGAGTTAGCAAGAGAAGAAAGGGCAGCAGGCACCTCGTTATTCAGAGCTTCTAAGTTATGCTGAGGAACCTGGGTGATTAGGTGAAGGGTTTTGGACAAGGAAAGGCAACATGATCAGATACAAAATTCAAAAGAAAGATCACTCCAGCTGCTGTGTGGGGCAATGGTAGATCTGAGGAGATCCATTAAGAGATTATATAATACAAGTCCAGGACACCGTGGAAACCTAAAATAGTAAGAGAATGGATGGAGATTCATGGGTCGATTTAAGAGATTCATTGGGCTTCTGGCAATTGATTGGCCACGAGGTAAAAGAGTTTGATGGCTTCCTCCATCTCTATTGACCATAGTAGGGTGCTTAGCTTAGAGATGTAGGAAGCTATCAGTACGTGAAATGCCATTTCTACTTCCAAACCTACTCTTACAGGGCATTTCCTGTCACTCTTGGGTTCCTGAGAATGAATGTTCAGTCAATAATGTGTCTTGGGTCAGGGTCACTATATCCCTCCCCCCTACCCCAGACCCTCATGAGAGCCTTTCAGATGCAGCTTCTCATAGTAATAATATGTGTTTGTTTGTTTTTTAATTTTATATACCAGGCACTGTTGTACTCTCACTTGCTTCCACAAATAACCCTGAAAAGTGAGCACTGATATTATCCTTATTTTACAATTGAGGAATGGAGACTAGAAGAACTAACATGCCCAAGATCATACAGCTGGTATGGCAGAACTAGGAGATGTTAGCTTTGCAGTGCTCTGGAGTCTATAGTCTGTTTTACCACCAAACTCTTCTTTTCTCCCAAACAACATCCATCCACACATGTGCACTCATTTGGTTTTGTCTGTTTCTTCTTGTCCATTACCTAGAATATATGCATGTGGCTTTCAAAAAGTTTAAGGGAAAATTTCATTGTCTTAATTCCATTTTTTCATAAACTATTTGCAGCCCCCTTGTATAGCATTGGACTTCTCCATTTTTTCAAGAATTTAACTCCCTAAGACTTGATCTATACTTCATGGAGCAGTTTACAAATGAGGAAGTCAGGGTTTGGGGAGAACTCATATCTTCACTAAGGTCACAGGCTAATATGTGGTGGCGGTGTGACTCTAGGGTTCCATGCTCTTCCCACAGTACCTTAAGGCACCTTGTTATCACTTCACTTTATGGCACATCTAAACAGACTGGCTGCCAGACCTAACTCACTCACTACTCACTACGTATCCTCGGGTAGATGGCTCTCTGAGCCTTTGCTTTATCCATCTGTAGAATGAAGGTTCTGGACGACAAAACAGAATAGCTCAGAGGCCCTGGGGAAATAAGACTAACCTGACAAAAAGAGTAAACTGGCTGTTAGAAGAATGAAGGACAGGGTGGGCCTTGATAGGAGTTTGACATGGTTTTGTTCCATACCTCGAAACCCCAGGATGAGTTGGATCTCACCAGACAGGCTCTGGAGAAGGAGCGGCTATACAGCCCAGGCCCGACCAGTAGAGCCGAACCAGGACACAGAGGAAAGCAGACTATGCAGCCAGGAGTGGTGAGCTGGGAGCCTGTGGGAACAGACTTCCCAGGAGGGAGCTCCTGTCTAGGAATTCGTCCCTTTCCCTTGGCATTTGCATCCCTGAAGCCCAGACCTGCCAGATTGGTCCCCGAGGTGAGATTCACAGGTTTCCCACAGGTCTCAGGAGTAGAAGCTGAGCCTAGCCCCAGAATGGAGGAGAAACAGAGACAAAGACTTGAGCACCTACAGCAAGCAGTGGCACAGCTAGAGATTGAGCGGAGTAGGCTGCAGCGCCATAATACCCAGCTGCGGACCACCTTGGAGCAGGTGAGCAACTTCCGCTGCCCCTAGCTCCATCCTCCAGTGGGCATGTGTCCTCCATTTTTCAGGCAACATTTAGATCAAGAGAGAGCCAACTACAGCCCATGGCCCAAATCAACCTACTGGTTGTTTTTGAAAATAAAGTTTTATTGGGATCTAGCCATGCCCATTCATTTATGTATTGTCGAGGGCTGCTTTCCTGCTACAACAGCAGAATTGAATAGTTGCACAAAAACTGTGTGGCCCCCCAAAGCCTAAGATATTTACTACAGAAAAGGTGTGCTGACCTGAGCACACTTGATCTTCAGAGGCTGAGCCCAGGAGTATCTCTTTGCACTCAAGACTGCCCTGCTGTGTGCTCTCAGCCCAGGAGTTAGTTCCCATGCTTGCTGTCCCCTCACAGTCACTCTTGCCCATGCACTGGTCTCCTCTCTTGAGAAAGACAGCTTTGCTCCAGCCCCAGAGATAAACTGAGCCCAGAATTCTCACTGACATCTCGACAGGTAGAACGGGAGCGGAGGAAACTGAAGAGGGATGCCATGCGCGCTGCCCGGGCGGGGGTCCTGGAGACCAGCGAAGGCACACCACCACCACCTACACAGCAGGTTTGCTGCCTTAGGAGCACCCGATCCCAGCCACCCCTAAAGTGCCATGCTTCCCAGGCCACCCATGGAGAGGAGACAGCCAATTCAGCCAATTCAGAGAGCCTTTTTTCTGACTGTACCCCTGGAGGAGTTCCAGCTTCAGTGGTTGGAGATGTACTTAAGACTAACAGTCCTGCCTTCTTTGGAACTCTGAAAGCCTTCACAGACATCTAATCTGCTTCCCCAGCCCCACCACCAACACTTTGGGCTCCCCAGGAACAGGGCTCACCAGGCTTCTGGTCACTGTCCCTGGTGTATAGATATGTGTGATACCTGCCAGTCCTTGATGCATAGGAGTTTGATGGCCTCCTTGCCCCTTGCATTATTAAGTTTATAAAATTAAGTTTACATTGAGTTCATCTGTGATATTTGCTAGGGCCAAAGTCCCCTTTAGGGGTAAATGGCTCCGGAAAGATGCCCTTAAACCAGTCCTGTTTTCACAGATGTATACCCATCAACAGCCACAGTCCTACAGGGAGGGGCTGTTTCTGGTGGCTGCACATCTCCCAGCAATCCACCCCAGTTCTTTGAGTGAGAGTTTCTTTTTCTGAACTTCCTCTCTGCATCCTTAGCTCACAGCCTAGAGCAAGCCCAAAACAGACACACGATATGTTCTGTGAAATGAAGGAATGCCTCAACGAAGCAATACCAGTCAGGCCTTTTTGATGTTCAGTGTCAGATCTCCATGGGCATTGCCTGTGAGACTGGGGTAGGACCCCTGGGCCTCTCCTTACCCCAAGGCCATGTGCCCCACAGAGGTTCAGTCTGATCTCATCGCCCTTGCCCAGGCCCCCCAGATTGCGATGAGATAGCTGGAGGCTGCCTGCAGAAACTCTAGAGTAAGAAAGCCTATTCCAATCAAAATGGTATTTGTCTTCCACAGGATGCAATAGGACAGAAGTGCTCCTCCGATGTTCTGGCTGAACTGCAGAAAGAGGTACATTTTGGAAGATTCATTTTCCGAGTCCTTTTTTAACCTTCCCTTGCACTCAAGCAACAAGGCTTTAGTGTCTGCATGTGTTTGGCCCTTTGTGTACCTCCACGGGGAGAGGAGAAATAGTACCTGCCTTCAGAGAACTTCAGTCTATATGGGAAGGCAGAAAGATCTCTAGCTCCAGCTCAGAGAGTGGGTTTGGGGAAGAAAGCATGATCTAAGCCTCAGACCTGCAAATTAATACAGGAAGGGAAAGGAAAAAGAAGAGGGCTGGAGAGCAGACAAAAAAGTCTAGAAGGCTAAAACAAGTAGAATTTTCCTGGCCACCTCTGTCTTCAGAGCAGCCGAGTAGGCTGGCAGAGGCACCATGATCCATACCTCATAACCCAGGTCAGGTAGTAGCCACATAGGGAAACTGTATAAAGTGACTTCTTGCCTCCAAACTTTCACCCAAGGGTTACTAGAACTGTGGAAAATCTTGATTTCTGAGCCAAGTTCAGAGTCAGTAGTCATTCTAGGGTTTGACCTTTATTATTACTTTGAATTCTGTTAAACTCATGAAAAGCAGTCCTGGAGACAAGGCTAAGACTTGGGTAAAGCAGGAGAGACACCTTGGGTGTAAACTGTAAGGAGGAGCACTCACTCCCAACCTAACATGTCGCCTCAAATTTTGTTCCCCGAGTGCCACTCGCCTCATCCTAGTCCAAGACCTGCTCTAGAGTCCCAATAGCTTCACTGTCTGGTAGTCTCAGTCTGTCCATCTGAAGAATGGAAGGCTTAATCTATGATTCTCAGCCCTAGCTATCCCACTTGGGAAATTTTGAAAAGCTACGGATGTCCAAGCCTCATCCCAGTTTAATTAATCCACAATGTAGGGTGTGCACTGGACTGCAAACTACAAACTGAACAGCTTGAGCCTACCAGCTGCTCCATGGGAGGAAGATGAGGCTTTCTGCTCATACAATGAAACCCTATACAGGGTCGCTGAGTTGGAACCAACTCAGTGGTACTTAACTTTTTTAAAGCTCCCAAAAAAGGCATAGTGGGACTTTGCATAGTGATTTAAACGTTTTGTTTTTATTTGGATGATGGTTATATAGATATATACATTATCAAACTCATCAAAATGTGTACAGGTAATCCCTATCTATGACAGGATTCTGTCCCGTGACTCCATCATTAAGTCAGTTCTGATATAAATGGAATCTCTTTTTTTCTTTCTAGTTTTTGTTATTGTTACCTTTTATTATCAGTGTCTTTATAAGTTCTGTCTTTGGGGGGCGTGGAAACAGTACATACATGCCACTTCAACATTATAGGAGTTAGTCCTAATCTAATTACAGTGTTCTGTTCCAATGTATGATTTGTTTTAACTCGAATACATCTTAAGTCAGGGACTATCAGCTCTTAAAATTGGGTATTTTATTACATATAAATTATTCCTCAGCAAAGTTGATGAAAGTAGTTGTACTATTTTTTAGCATCCTCTTTGAGTCTCATGTGGTTCCTAGGGGTCCTTCCCCCCAAACACCCCAAAGCCTGACTCTGAGATATGTGTATGTGGTAGAGTTAATTCAAAAGCTGGTCCAACAAGAGTCATAACAGCACAAAACAGGAGGAGCTGAGGCAGCTTTGAGGTCCTCAGCTCCTTCCTCCCTCTTGGTTCTTCTGCCACCAGGTGGCCCTGCTACGAGCCCAGCTGGCCTTGGAGCGGAAGCAGAAAGAAGAGTACATCGCTCGCTCAGTGCAGACCAGCCGTGAGCTAGCAGGACTGCACCACAACCTCTCCCACTCACTCCTTGCTGTGGCCCAGGCCCCGGAGGCCACTGTCCTTGAGGCTGAGACCCGCAAGCTGGATGAGTCCCTGACCCAAAGCCTGACATCCCCAGGGCCTATCCTGCTACACCCCAGCCCCAGCCCCAGCCCTAGTGCTACCCAAGCCACCACCAGGTAGCAGCCACAGTCAGGGCAGAATCTAGTCTAACCTGGGAGCACTCAGATAGGCAGCTGATGATTGTCGAATGGGTCAGAGCTCAGCAACATAGTTAGAGGTTTGATAGGGGAAGGGTCTGACTATTGTCTAACCTGGGCACCCCAGACCAGCTGGCATTGTCAGGAAGAGACAAGGGGGAGTCTGGGGATGAGCTTCAGATCACGTGGGAAGGAGGTGAATCCCAGTCACCTGCTAGCCTACCAGGCCACCCAGAAAAGTGCTTTGCCCTGCCTTTCACCTAGAATTTATTACCCTAGCACTCCACCCTCTCCTTCCCCTTTAATAATAAACTCTGGCCTTTGCGTTGTTTGCTGCTCCTCTCTACTCACGCACCTGGGCAGCAGCAGAACATCAAAGACATTTACTGAGGAAAAATTTGCCCGAGATCTTGCATGAATATTTGGATGTCATATGCTGTGTAGGGTAAGCACTGGACTTCAAAGCACAAGCCATTCCATAGGAGAAAGATGAAGCTTTCTGCTCCTGAAAAGATTTACAGCCTCAGAAACCTATCCAGGGATCGCTGTGAGTCAGAACCAACTCCACAGCGTGTACCAACAACAACAACATGCCCTGCTAAAGAAGAGTTACAGAAGAAACACAAAACAAAGCCCCTGTCCAGAGAGCTTGCAGTCAAATTGGTAATAATGGACTAACTCATTAATAAAAGACAATTCTGTGTACCCACTACAAGTGCTGTCAAAATTCCAAGGGACTGGGAAAGGAATACGTGAAGTGGCCCTTGAAGAATGTAGAGGAGTTGAGAGAGGTAGCTAAGCATTTCTGAGACTGGTCTGTCTGACAGAGTTTCTGTTAGACTGAAGTTGGATGCATACAAAGGGAGATTATGGAGGGCCTTGGAATCTAGATTTGAACTCCTGGGTTATGAGAAAACATTAAAAGTTCTTGTCTTAAAACACACCAAGTTGACCTTTGACTAAAATCAGAGTCTCTGGCATTCAGGGCTTCCATCTGGTTTCATTCGTCTTTTACTGTGGGTGAATGCCCTTGAGGTGTCCCTTTAGGGCATGCCAGCTGGAACTCACACTGGTCCCCTGGACTCCAGCCATTTGTCAAGCCAGTCAAGAGGATGGACTGGGCTGGAATTTGTCACTTAGATACAGGCAGTGGTGGAAGCAGTTGGGATTGAACCCAGCTGACAAGCTTAGGACCTGTAATCAGCAACTTCCTCAAATCCTAAGAGAGAAGGCCAATTTTCTTTAAAGTAGCAGGGCCTGGCCTGTCATTTCATTGAGGTCTCTAAGGTCAATGGGAAGTTATAAGCATGGGCTCACTGTTGTTTTTGTTGTTAAGTGTCATCGAGTCGATTCCGACCCATAGCAACCCTGCACAGGTTTTCCGAGGAGCAGCTGGTAAGCTTGAACTGTTCAAACCGGCTTTGCAGTACAGCGCATTAACCCACAGCACCACACCAGGACTAAATAAAAAATCCTGATCAACTTTCAAATTACAAAAACATATTCCAAAGGAGTCATGAAATTGATGTTGGACTCTTGGTTCGTTTATTTGTGGGTTTTTTTGTTTTGTTTTGACTTGGTGATTCATTTGTTTTTGAGAATCTGGAATAGAATATAGCACTTTAAAGCCACCAGGAATCCAATGGGAGAAAAAAACAAACAAGGTTTTTTTCTTGAGTAGCAGAGTGATCTCCATCCAGGGTCCACTTGAAGCCCAGTCCTTACCTGACATTCCAAGTCCCCATTGAGTACTTGTCAGCCTGCTGGGGCCTCCAGTAGCTGAACAGGCTGGGGACAATCTCAGGTGTACATAACAATCTTTCCCTCACAATGCAACCGAAGGATGACATTTCTCTCCACTTGGGGATTGTTCATGGTGTTCGTGGACCAATATGTATTATTCCAGTAACGAGACCACTTTTTGAGATTGTCTGTCCCGAAACCAAACAAGGAGACCTGGGAAATGGGATAAGGCAGGACATGGTCATGAGATGGCAGGCTGGTTCCTACCCTCTCTCACCATTCAGCAAACCTCCACTCAACATTTAGTGTGATGATAGGTCACTGCTGAGAGGGAAATGGAGTTCACCTGCTCTACAGAAGAAGATGCTGGAGATGGTGACGTGAATTTACTCAGAGCCACCCAGAAGAGTATCTATTAGTTGCCCCTTAAATTGAAGGAAGAAAAGATTCCCTAGGGAGATAAGGAAAGGGCATTGCAGGCAGAGGGGACAGCATGTGAGAAGACATGAGCAGCTGTTGTAAAAACCCCAAGAAGTCCAATGTGTGAACCTGAAGGGAGCAGGTGAGGAGAGGACCCAGATCATGCAGTCCTTGGGAAGACAATTTTAGTGGCAGAGTGATAGAAGTCTTTGAGTTGCAGAAGATGTCTTACCTGATCACAGGTGTGCAAGGCATAGGACACAGCCACGAACCCCAAGGATGGAGACTTAGCCTGGTTTTTCAGCCATATTTCTTGGATGTACTTGAGGAAGGTGAGGCTGATCATTAAGATCTGGGGAAACATGGGGAAGGGAGTAAGACTTGTCTCCTGACCCGTCCATGGTCATGTCCTGCTCATTCTACTTTCCCTTCCTGTGTATCTCACCTTGTTTTTGTTTCCATCAGGGAACTGGGCGATCTGAAATCTAAAAAGTAATCGAGGGTAGGGGTGTTTCAGAGTCACCTGACACAATAGCTCTCAAGCTTCGGCAATTCAGTATCCAGCAGGGGTCTCCCCAGGAGCCCCCTGCTGTCAGCCCATACAGGGACCCCTTCACTATACCCTGGGTTTTTTGGTTTCCAGGTGATGTCTGTACGCAGGGTTTTCATGAACCACTCCAGACCAGATGAATTCAGTGGAAGCACCAGAAACTGGGTGCCAGGCTCTTGAATGCTGGCAGTCTCAGGGTACATAATGCGCATGGTGGTTTTGTTACCCACATCCATCTCAAAACCCTGGACAGGGGCCTGGCTTATCCTTGGAAAGAAGGGCAGGGTAGTTATTTGGTTATTTGAAGGAAGAGGATTTGGCCTGTCTCTACCTAACTTGTACCCACCTGAGGACCATGTCATGTTGGTTAATCTTGAAGCCATAGCCAGAGCCCTGGAGGAACCTTGAGTTCCCCACCACTGCACAGGTGCGGCAGGAAGCTCCCTTAGTCGGTGGCGCCTGCTGCTTCCTATTCTTAAGCTCTATCTCCTGCTTACCCTGAAGACCCTAGGAGCATAGGAAGGAGGAGTTTAAAGACTTAGTCCAGGCTCCAAATGTTTGTGAAAGGTTAGAACCCAGAACCATGAAGAGGGAAATGGGCAATGTCTGGGATTGGGTACAGGAACTAGACAGAGGCCAAAATGTGAACTGACCATCCACAGTAACAGAGCATCAGAAGACATAGGGACATCTGATCCCTGCAGGGGCTCAACAGCCCTTCTGAAGTGTTTGTCAAACCATTCAGACTCGCCAGGTGTGCGGAGACATTTGGAGCACTTGAACTTCCCAGGTGGACAGCCACATCTTCTGGAAGAGACCCTGAGGCAAGAACAGGTACCTGGGAATGTTATGACTATCTTAGGGAGATTATTTTGGTTGAACTCCTGGTCCAGGAAGGAAGCTATCAGCCTCCATGAAAGCACGCAGGCAGCCATCAAACCCAGTTTCATGTATTGAACCCTCATCTCTGGCCTTGAAAGCGGTGTCTCTTGCAGGCTGTAGATTGACTTTGATACCTAGTGCTGGAGAGATGATAGGCTGGGGCCACACACATCCCCTGTGTCCCCCCCCCATCCTGATTGCTTCCATTCTCCCTAAACTCCCCACAGCTCACCTCCCCAAATCTTACCTCTTGCCTGTACCTACTAATCACTAAGGGGAAGAAATTTGCCAAGACCTGAGCTGAAGGCTGAAGGGATGGGAGATGTTACAGTTGGTGTGTCCTCTGGCCTCCAGAAGGAAATTAATGCCCAGTGGGGTCTTTTGTGCCAGCACAGTTATATCAGAGAGCTCATCACAGAGGCCACATTGTGACCTCCATATAGGATTACGGACAAGGCCCCCTCCTTCACTTTGAAATTCAGCCTAGAGCCCATCTAATTAGGGACATTTTGGAAATCACGTGTTGAAGGTAGGATGCCAAGGCTGATGTGGGTGAGCTGGAGGCAGAGAAAGGAAAGAAATTGTCCCTTGTAGAGGGAATTGATGATGATGATGAAAGTGAATATCTGTTACATTCAATCCCTAAAATCTCTCAGGGGTTGACTTTCTTTTCTAGTTGAGAATTGTTACCAAGATAAATAGCCCCTCAGGCAGGAGAGTACCTCTCTGAGGAAACACCCAAGAGAAAAACCGAAAGATGCTGACTGGCAGCTTCCATTTTCTTCATCTTGGAATAGTCCTTGGAACCCAGTTTCCATGTTGTGAGAAAACCCAAGGAGCCACATGGAAGATGATAGATCCCCAGCCAGTAGTCCCGACTGAACCCATCCCCCAGCTGGCAGCCAGAATCAACTTGTCAGCTTCGTGAGTGAGCCATCTTGAAAGTGGCCATTCCATGGAAAAGAAAGGTGTTCCCACAGAGCCCTGTCCAAACTGTAAAATCATGAAATCAAGGATTGTTCTTGTTTTAAGTCACCAAGTTTTGGGGTAGTTTATTAAACAGTAGTAGATAATTGAAATAGTGTGTCACTATTAAAATAGTGTGGTGCTGTGGAACAGCACTGGACTGTGAACCACAAGGTTGGCAGTTCAAGTCCACCAGCTGCTCCTCAGACACCCTATACAGGATAGCTATTAGTTGGAACTGACTCGATGACACTAAACATTAAAATGAAAAGAGTCTTGGTGTGGCACTGGGTTAATGCACTGAACTGCAGAGTCAGTTTAATCTCAAGGTTGGCGGCAGTTCAAGCTCACCAGCAGCTCCTTGGAAACCCTATACAGGGTCGCTATGGGTCGGAACCGGCTTGATGGCCACAACATTAAAATGAAAAGGAAAGCAAAAGGTTGTAAGAGATTTCAGAAACGTTAACTAGAGTACACAATAAACAAAAGGAATTCAAAAGGAAACAGACAATGCAGGTAGCAGAACATCTCAAAAATTGTATCATCAGGAGCTAAGACTAGGATCCACGAATTGTGAACATGTGTCCGTTTAAGTAAGGAACATTGAGATAACAAGAAACAGTTCTTATAAACAAAGTATGCTTGTGCTGATGAATGGAAGGGCTATTTTCAGGGTTTGGTTACAGTGCTGCTAAGACTTTGAACTATGTGGATCATGACAAGCTATTGATAGCATTGCGGAGAATGAGTATTCCTGAACACTTAATTGTGCTCATGAAGAACCTGTACACAGACTAAGAAGCAGTCATTCAAACAGAACGTGGGGACGCTGCATGGTTAAAATCAGGAAAGGTGTACTCAGGGTTGTATTCTTTCACCATACTTATTCAATCTGTATGCTCAGCAAATAATTCGAGAAGATGGATTATATGAAGAAGAATGTGGCTTCAGGATTGGAGGAAGACTCATTAATAACCTGAAATATGCAGATAATACAACCTTGCTTGCTGAAAGTGATGAGGGTTTAAAGTACTATGAAGATCAAAGCCTTCAGTATGGGTTGCACCCCAATGTAATGAAAACAAAAATCCTCACCACTGAACCAATAAATGGAGAATAGATTGAAGTTGTCAAAGGACTTCATTTTGCTTGGATCCACCATCAACACTCATAGAAGCAGCAGTAAAGAAAATCAAAGAACATAGTGCATTAGTCAAATCTGCTGCACAAGACCTCTTTAAAATGTTCAAGAGCAAAGATACCAGTTTGTGATCTTAACATGAGCTTGATCCAAGCCACGGTATTTTCAGTAGCCTCATATGAAAGTTGGACAATAAATAAGGAAGGCTGTAGAAGAATTAATGCATTTCAGTTACGGTGTTGGAGGAGAATATTAAAAGTACCATGGACTGCCAGAAGAACAAACAAATCTGTGTTGGAAGCTCAACCAGAATGCTCCTTAGAAGCCAGGATGGTCAAACTTTGTCTCTCCTACTTAGGATATATTATCTGGAGGGACCAGTCCCTGGAGAAAGACAACATACTTGGTAAAGTGGAGGATCAGCACAAAAGAGGAAGACCCCCAAAGAGATGGATTGGTCCAGTGGCAGCAGCAGTGGAGCCAAGTGTAGCTAGCACTGATTGTGAGGATGGTGCAGTGTATCATTCTGTTGTGCACAAGATCACTATCACTCAGAACCGACTTGATGGCACCTAACAACAGTCAAGATAGAGAACATTACCAGCACTCCAAAAGTCTCTCTCTTTCTCTCTCTTTTTTTTTTTTTTTAATTCCAGTTATTTATTCATTTACTCATGTAACAAATGTTTATTGAATACCTACTACATGGCAGGCACTATTACAATATATTGGTGAGGAAACTCTCAGTTACACATAAAAGGGATGATAAATTACCTTCAGAATAAAAGGAAATGTATTGATTCATGTAACTAGAAAGTGCAGAGGTAGCGCTAACCTTAAATTCTGCTTGATCCACTCACTCAACAGTACCCCTAAGGAACCTGTTTTCTTGTCAACTGTCTCTCTGCTCTGCTGCCTACTGGTTTGGTATCACCCCTACCACTCCTAATGCTAGCGCTCCAAAATTCCCAACAAAATTCTGAGATGCATTGTGTTTGGACCAAATTAGGTCACAAGCAACTCCTAATACTGTGACCAAAGTAAAGAAAGCAATGATTGGTCTGTTGTTGTTAAGAGCTGTCAACTCATAGCGACCCTGTATAGGATTTCCAAGGAACAGCTGGTGGGTTTGAACTGCTGACCTTGTGCTTCACAGTCCAGTGCTTATTCTATAGCACCACACCAGGACTTCTAGTCTACGTTATATTTTATCCCTAGAACCAGGAATGCGGTCAGTTTCTCTGGAGCCTCATGATCTGTAGATGGAAAAAGCACCATTGAGAAGGAAGAATTGAGAAATGGATTCCAAAAATCCATTATACACTATATCAGGACTCTGGATTTTAAAATTAATGAGGTTTATAGGGTTCATGCCTTCAAGGTGTTCCTAAAATTTTCTAAATCTTTCATTGGTGGTGTTCTTGTGGTTCTTATCATTCATTTTTTAATCCTATAGGAATAAAATGATAGGAGGGAAATAAATAAACATTTAACAAATATATAAAAATATCCACCAGTCATCTGTCAATTTGTCATACTGTGATGGCTTGTGAGTTGCTGTGATTCTGGAAGCTATGCCATGGGTTTTGGGTTTTTTTCCCCTCTTTCTTCCTCTAGTCATGTTCTGGCCACTGATGCCAGGTCAAATGGGTACTATCTGCAAGTATGGGTGTTCTTGTGCATCTCCCCTCACATCATATCGTCTGGATGCTTTACACTCCATTCTAGTCCTGTGGGGCCATGTCCCTGCCCCTGGGCCCAGGAGTCCCCAGGTCTCGTCATACTGCTGGTTAACCAGGTCTCAATCCAGGTTAACAGGAGTCTATTGAATGTGGTCAGACTTAGTTCACAACTTCATTGCTGTTTTCCCCCACTTCCCCTTATCGGTGACCAAAGTGGTCAGCAGCAGGACCATATGCCTGCTAGTGCATTCCATTTGAGTTTCAGTCTCGTTTAATTCCACCCAATGGTACCTGACATTATATTCGTTTAGTTTTGCCTGTTTTAGAGCTTCAAGGAGCTCTGGTAGCGTAGTGGTTACAAATCAGGCTGTGAACCACAAGGTGAGCAGTTCGAAACTACCAGCTGTTCTGTGGGAGAAAGATGAGGCTTTCTGCTCCTGTAAAGATTTACAGCCTCAGAAACCCTGTTCAGGGTCGCTATGAGTCGGAACCGACTCCACGGCATATAACCACCACCACCAGAGCTTCATTTAATGGAATCACACAGTATGTCATCTTTTATGTCTGACTAAAAAGGAACCCTGATGGCTCCACAGGTTAAGCATTAGGCTACTAACAAAATGGTTGGTGGTTCAAACCCATCAGCCACTACAGGAGAAAGATGAAGCTATCTGCTTCCGTAGAGATTTACAGCCTCAGAACTCTTATGGAACAGTTCTACTCTGTCCTATAGGGTCAAAATGAGTTGGAATCAACTCGACAGCAGGGAGGTTGAAGAATGAAACTAATTACTTTGATGTGTGTGATTATATTAAGATTTGTTGATCTGTCAAAGT